GGGGAGAGGGTTTTTTTCAGACATAGCACAGGCAACACAAGTAAAAGTTGTGAATTTGCCAAAAAAAAAAAAAGATCAGGCCAGCAGGCCAAATACCCCCTCTCTTCCCACCACTGCCCCCCTGCCAGCCCTGCCCTTGATCAACCTGCCCCACCACAATAGGCTCACAGCCCCTCCCTGTGGCTGTCTGCCCCTGATTGCACCCCCACCCCCACCCCAAGAGGGGGCAGGGCTGGCCAGCCAATCTCCTGCAGCCTCTCCCCTTGCCCAGCCTGACCCCAGATTGCCCCACCACCACCACAATCGGGCAGGGCTGGCTGGCCGACCACCCATGGCTCCTTTCCCAGGCCACTGGCCCCGATCGCCACCCCCACCCCATTTGGGGGGATGGCTGCCCAGCCCACCAACCACAGCCCCTCCCCATGGCCAGCCCCTCCCCCATTCGGCCCCCCAACCCCAATCAGGCTGGCGAGGGGGGGCAGTTTGGAGCAATCAGGCCGGTGACAGGGGCAGTTGGGGGCAAACAGGCTGGCAGGGCAGGCAGTTGGGGGGGATCAGGGTGGCAGTTGGGGGTGGTCAGGCTGGCAAAGAGAGAGGTTAGGGGCAATCAGGCAGGCAGGCAGGCAGGGGAGTGGTTAAGAGCCAGTGGTCCTGAATTGCGAGAGGGATGTCCTACTACTGGTACAGGATCGGGCCTAAACCGGCAGTCTGACATCCCCCAAGGAGTCCCAGATTGGAGAGGGTGCAGGCCAGGCTGAGGGACCCCCTCCCACCAGTGCACAAATTTTGTGCACCGGGCCTCTAGTAATACAATAAAGATCACATAAGATTAATGTAAAGCTTAATGAATCATGATTAATGCAGACACCCTTTGCATCACCGATGTTAGGAGAACGGAGTCTTGCCAGTTCCCTCAGAAGCACTCTGCCCCTTTCTGGTCAGTCTTCTTTTCCCCTGGAGTAACTTCTAAAGTAACCTCTAGCTTTTATTTTGTTAGTGGTCACAGAATGTTGATATTCCAGTCCCTTCAACCCACCCTATGGATTACTTCTGTAGAGAAACTCTGTTTAATCTAATGCTTTGTTACTAGGTATAGGAAAGACAAAAATAAGCATCTGATACTTTATTGGCTTTCAAATTAGTGACCACTTAGGCTTGGTTTTGTATTATAAACTCTTGGATTTAAACATATTTACTGTGTTATAATCCATTTCAGTTATATCATGCTGAGATAGTTCCATCTTTGCCCTGTGGTTGGCCCTGAGCCTTTTTGATACAATTCTGGTGGTCTTATTGGTCTTTTATTGCATCCAGGCTCCGGTGTACCATAATGTTCCAGGCTTTTCTTATATATGAACTAGAGGCCCGGTGCACAAAAATTTGTGCACTCAGGGTGGTGGAGGTGGGGGGGCCCTCAGCCCGGCTTGTGCCCTTTCGCAGTCTGGGACTCCTCGGGGAATGACCACCTGCTGGCTTAGGCCTGTTCCTCGGGGGGATTGGGCCTAAGCTGGCAATCAGACATCCCTCTGGCAGCCCGGCAGCTCTCAGGGGATCTCCACTTGCCAGCAGGGAGCAGACCTAAGCTGCAGTTGGACATTGTTAGTGCTGCTGAGGAGACAGGAGAGGCTCCCACCACCACTGCTGTACTGGAAGCCATCAGCCTGGCTTGTGGCTGAGCAGAGCTCCTCCATGTGGGAGCTCACTGACCACCAGAGGGCAGCTCCTGCATTGAGTGTCTGTCCCCTGGTGGTCAGTGTGTGTCATAGTGACCAGTCATTCCCAGTGTTTCTGCTGTTAGGGTCAGTTAGCATATTACCCGTTCACTATATAGGATAGAGGCCTGGTGCACAGGTGGGGGCTGACTGGTTTGCCCTGATGGGTGTCCCCGATCAGGGTGGGGGTCCCCATTGGGGTGCCTGGCCAGTCTGGATGAGGGGCTGATGGCTGTTTTCAGGCTGGCCAAGGCGGCGACAAGCTCCCAGCCTCTCCTTTTTTTCTTTTCTTTTTTAATTCTGGGATTTATTTACCTTCTATAATTGAAACTTCGTTGCCGCTCCAGCTTCGAGGCCACGGCCTGCTGAAAGCAGGTATCTGGGGTTTGTTTAGCTTCTATAATTGCAGCTTTGTTGCTTAGAATGGAGCTCAGAGCCTGGCCGCCACAGGGAGGAAGCTTGGCTTCCTCCATCGCTTCAGCTGTGTAGCTGCCGGCCATCTTGGTTGGGTTAATTTGCATATCCTGATTAGCCAATGGGAAGCATAGCGGAGGTATGGTCAATTACCATGTCTGTCTATTATTAGATTAGATAACTCTGTCTGGACCTGCAGCTGCGCCTTGCAAATAATTCCCCAGTTCCATTGTCACAGAGCAGGTCAAACTGGTAAATTTAGAACTGAGAAGCAATAAGTAACACACACACAGCACATATTATTACTTATCAGTGTCATCTCCCTTTGTCCCTGAATTGGTCTTTATTTAGTGTGTAGTCTGTCTCTCCAGTGTTGGTTCGGTGTGCTTGTGTTTTATGAAGTTTGCTTTCTGGTAGATTCCTGAGGAAGGAATAATGGCAGTAATGTTCTTTGCGTTGTTTGACTATTGAAGAGTCACTTTGTGGCCGTCCGTTGGCTGCATGCAAATGCTTGGCTCACGCTTTCTTTCCTTAGCATCTTATTACTCCAATTTCTTCTCCCACATGCACTGCCCTTCAGAGCTGATCACAAGCTGACTTTCATCTTCTTACAAGTAACGTGGTCTTTCTTCATTTTGGTGTTGCTTCTGGGTCAGTTTCCAGTTGTGGCGTCTTTCTTCAGTGTGTGCTTGAAAATCTGTAGTTTAGGACAGTTTTCTTGAATTATATAGTTTTTCAAATTTGTAATTTACTTTTGTGATATTTTACCTGATATTTCCGTCATTGTTCCACCGATTTTCAAAATACATTTAACCCTTTGCGGTCGTATTAAATTTGGACATGGGTGTCGTACTGGTCGGAATTAATTTCCATTGAAAGAGCAGTGATACATAACATGCAAGATTATGAAGGATAAACAAGATTTATTAATTCTTTTTTGGAACTACGTCACTACTAGTAAAATCACTACAAACTTTATCACTTTCTACGTAAGCGTCAGTATTCAAGGTGCCAAAATAAAACTTCATCGTTACTTTCAGATTCGCAGAACATCTCCGATTTGTCGGGGCAATGTTTTGGTTCGTGACAAGGTCGCTTAGACACTTAAGAGCTTTCAGAGAAATTATGAACTGATACATGAATGAATAGAGTTAAGATTGGTACGGTTCCTTGCTGTGGTGGCTGAGAGCAGACATATGACCGGAACGGTAAAAAAGCTTTGGTGGCTGAGAGTAGACAAATGACCACAAAGGGATAATAGCTTATTCCACCAGGTGCCAGGACTTGAAATCTGGTGTTATATTGGGACATAGTTGAAGAGCATGACTTTTATTTGGCCTGTATTAAAGTTCTCCGGATAAGGTTCATATGACAGCTATAAATGTTTGCATTCCAGATGCTGAAGTGGAAATGTTTATGGTGCTCAGTGAATGTTGATTCAGGATCACCAGGATGCAAATTTGAAATGTTTTACATTTGAATCATTCTTTTAAACTGGGTCAGGAGATAAGATTTTGAAAAAATCATTTGAAGATTGTCAACAAGTATAGATAAAGTAAAAACTGTTTTGTGTGTGAGAGAGATTTATTGGTCAGTGCTACTCTAGCTTAAACAGTGGTTCTCAACCTGTGGGTCGCGACCCTTTGGCAGTTGAACGACCCTTTCACAGGGGTCATTGGAAAGCACATATAATTATATATTGTTTTTGTGATTAGTCACTATGCTTTAATTATGTTCAATTTGTAACAATGAAATTGAGGGTCACCACAACATGAGGAACTGTATTAAAGGGTCGTGGCATTAGGAAGGTTGAGAACCACTGGCTTAAGAGAATGTCTCTCTCAAGCCTGTTGTACTGCTTCCCTTCATTTATTCTTTACTATTTTAGGTTTATGTGGTACATTTTCTTCAACACATACTTGGGATATTTTTCAGAGTTTAGAATTGCTTTAAAATTGGGCCAGAGAAATTTTCTAGACTTCGAGAACCGCTTTTTACATGTCAGCTTTTTTATAGTCACTCTCAGATGATCACTCTGTCATTTATTGCTAATACCCTGTTCAGGAAATACTAACAAAGGGAATGTCTTCTTCCCTTTTTTTGTTTTTGTTTGTTAATCCTCACCTGAGGATATTTTTTTCCATTGATCTTCTAGAGACGGGGGAAGGGAGAGAGAGAGAGAGAGAGAGAGAAACATTTATTTGAGAAATATCTATCAGTTGCCTCCCACACATGCCCTGAACGGGAATCAAATCTGCAACCTGCCACCTTTTCGTGTATGGGACGATGCTCTCTCTAAACCACTAAGACACCGGCCAGGGTGGGAATATTTACTTGTTTCCAATTTTTCTGCAAAACCCCTTTTGATACTATTGAAAATATTAACTGTTATGCTTTGCTGGTCGACTCACTATTTTCAAAATAGTTCATTTAGAAAAGGAAGTGGTGATAGTTTCGAGTGTTTATGGTGAACTACTTGTTTGTAAATACGCTGGTACTATTTTGGCTTCCCTAAGCTCTCCCTCTTCCCCATCTTTCTAGTTTGACCGAGAGAACCTACGAATCCCAGGAATGCTGATTATTGACACCCCTGGCCATGAGTCTTTCAGGTGAGAGCACGGGATTCTTTTGTCCACAAGCAAACTGCTGGAAACCGTGAGTCTGAAGGTCCAGTCAGTGAAGCCTGAGCCTTCTGAATCGTTGGGTATACTTTGAGATTTGTGGTTTCTACTGCAGTTCTCTAGCTACTTATCTCTGATAGCTACCAGTCCTCCTCTGTGCCTCACTAATTTTATTTGGATACTTGTTTTTTGTTGTTTTAATTTTTTATTTTAATCCTCACCCAAAGACAGCTTTCCCATTGATTTCTAGAGACAATAAAAGGGAGGAAGGAGAGAGGCGGAGAGAGACACGCACACACATCAATTGATTGCCTCCCACATTCACCCCTACGGGGGCTGGGGAACCTACAACCGAGGTACATGCCCTTGGCCTAGAATTGAAACAGAGACCCTTTGGTCCAGGGGCCGATTCTCTAACCATGGAGCAACCTGGCCAGGGCTACATACTAGTTTTTTTTATAGAGAGAAGCCTTTTCTACTTGGAAGAACAAATCCTATTACATTCCTGGTGTATCTCCTGTGAGACCCATTGCAGGTGGAATTTTACCTCGTAGCCTCTTGGCCATATTCCTTAGCACAAAAAAAACCTTCGTCAGTAAAATTGGCAGAAATATTGGATTTACTTTGGGAACTAACTCATTCCAGCTGGTGTCAGATATGTGTTTGGAAAGTGAAGGACTAATGAATGGCACTTGAATTTAATGCATGTACTTCATTTTGTTCTTTTGTTTAGGTTTTACAAAAAAATTAAAATTTTAAGTTTCTTTAAGTAAAATTTTATTTCAGGATTTCTACTTATGCATCTTTTTCCTTCCTTTCAACAGTAATCTGAGAAACAGAGGCAGCTCTCTTTGTGATATTGCTATTTTAGTTGTTGATATCATGCATGGTTTGGAGCCCCAGACAATTGAATCTATTAACCTTCTGAAATCTAAAAAATGTCCCTTCATTGTTGCACTCAATAAGGTAAGCTCTGCTTCTGAAAAATTAAATTGTGAAAATATGCTTCTGCCTTAGCTGGTTTGGCTTAGTGGATAGAGCATCGGCCTGTGGACTGAAATGTCCCAGGTTCACATTTGGTCAAGGGCACATGCCTGGGTTACGGGCTCAATTCCCAGTGGGGGGCGTGCATGAGGCAGCTGATCAATGATTCTCTCTCATCATTGATGTTTCTATCTCTCTCCCCTCTCTCTTCCTCTCTGAAATCAACAAATATATAATTAAAAAATGCTTCTTTAATTTTAGTACTAGAGGCCAGGTGCATGAAATTTGTACGCGGGATGGTTCCTAGGCCTGGCCTGCAATCAGGGACATCTTCGCCGGCCCCGCCCCCTGCCGCCATCCACCCCTGGTTCCCTGTTCGCCATTGGGTGATCAGTGCCTGACGGCCGGGGAAAGAGACTGGCCTGACGGCCGGGGAAAGAGACTGAGAGGTGGTCAGTGCGCCTCATAGTGACTGGTCCAGCGGTCATTCTGGTCATTCTGCCGTTAAGGTCAATTTGCATATTACCCTTTTATTGTATACGAAAGAGGCCTGGTGCATGCGTCGGGGCCAGCTGGCCTGCCCTGAAGGCGGTCCTGGATCGGGGTGGCGGGGGTTCCCCAGGGGGGCAGGGC